TTATTTATATGAGTAAAAGACAGTCTTATGGAACCTCCTTTCTCAAGAAAGTGTCAAACACTTCCATTTTTAATTTAGCACCGAGATTGTGGTTTCTTTGTCTTAGTAATTATGGGCTTTCCTGCCAGGGCCCCATTTTTGCTTCTACTTTATAACACGATCATGGTTGAATAGCTTTAATCAGGCACCAATTAGTCCCAAATCTATAACTAATTTAAGTCTGGGATTTTGTTGGTTGTGCTTCCTTCTTTCAAACTGGGAGGGAAATTTAGAAAAGTTTTGAGCAAATGATCTCAATCCCTGATGAGTAGTTAGAAGAGAGATATTTCTGTAACCTGCCCAATAAACTGGTTATCATATTAAACTCATTTTTAGCAGCTTATATTCACTTAAGCCTTGCTCCAGATGGTGGTTGTCAAAATGTTTCTTATAATTAGCATCAGTAAACTTCTCCTGGGCCTTTGAAATTCATTGCAAATCACATGTTGTCTATAATCATAATAAGATCGGAAATGTTATTAATATCCTGCTCAGTATTCTGCTACACCAGTTTCTGTAAAACTACATGAATCAACAGAACCAACTTCTCTCTACTGCGCTATCTCAAAGGCTGTTAAATGGTAAATGTATCTATATCTAGATAGTGTTAAAATTAAATATAAAATGGAGACTGGACGTGAGAATTCCTTGAGCAGACAAAACCACTTTAGCCATGTAAGCAAAACTAAATCTAGCTTATTTCATGAACATAAGTGAAGCTTAACTTAGGTTATTTCTTGTAAATGCCCCTGACAATCATAAAGGAAACTTAAGCCACCTAATAAAAATGGTACAAGATCATGACTTTTAACCAATCCCCTGCCACCTGGAAACCTTCATTGCAATAATCAAATCATTGTAAAAGTTAAATAACTTGCTTATTTTCACTTTATAAGATATCCTGTAACTTCATGACCCTGAGTTTCATATCAGTTTTTATTTTTGGAGGCTCCCGGTTCACTAACTATTCTTATACACACAATAAACTTTTACTAAATACTATTTATTGATTTGATAATTTTAATTTAGCTATTTCTGCATTTTTTACAATGAAAAAGTTGATTTGCTCATTTTCATGGAGTTTCATCTCTAAGATATAAAGACTCGCTAAATCATTTGTTTAGTCAAGCACATAAACTGTTCTTATTAACATATTCTATAACACAATCATTTGGTTCACACCATAGGTCTTCCCTGTAACTCAAATGGTAAAAAAATCTGCCTGCAATGCAGGAGACCCTGGTTCGATCCCTGCATTGGGAAGATCCTCTGGAGAAGGGAATGGCAATTCACTCCAGTATTCTTGCCTGGAGAATCCCATGGACAGAGGAGCCTGGCAGGCTACAGTCCAAAGAGTCGGACATGACTGAAGTGACTAACACTACACTATCATCCATAAACTAGGTGTCTCAGTTGTTGAGTTAATCAGGTTTCTTTTGATTGAACATGACAGAACTTCTATTTGAATCAGTTTATGAAGAGGAAGCCTGATTGAAAGGGCACTGGGCATCTTTGTAACCCAACTTCAGAGGTATACTGACCAGGGATAACGGGCCAGTGCTGTCTTCATTTCTTCTTTTCATGCTCTTTGGAGAAACCAGCAAGCGAGTGTGAGAAGCAGGACAGGGAAGAGGAAGCCAAACATGTATGCTACTCCACACCAATAGCATGCAAATCCAGCTTCAGCCTGATCCTGCAGGGTGCTCCAAAGCATAAATTATAACTGAGTTTGCTCCACCTGGCGTCAAGGGAGCTTGATCCTCATACGCTTGCACCAATCAGCCACTGATTAAGCTCCCAAACCCCACCCTGGGGAAATGTCAACTCAGGCACTTCCGGCTATACACGTCAGGGCAAAAAAGCTCCATTAGCAAAAAGGTGGTGACTTAAAATAATCACAGGTGTGAACCATTAAATGCCAATGCACAGAGAAGTTCCCATAATCCAAAAGTTGTTGGCCTAATAGAATCACACTGTAGACTATTAGAAGCAAATGCACACAGTTGGGGAAAGGGCACACAGAAATGATTAAAGGAGGTCTCAGAGAGGGACCTCACTGGTGGTCCAATGGTGAAGACTCATGAGCTCCCAATACAGGGGGCCAGAGTTTGATCCCCGGTCAAGGAACTAGGCCCCACATGCCTCAACTGTAAAAAAAAAAGAGATCCTGCCTGCCCCAAAAAAACCAAAGATCCCATTTGCTGCAACTCAGACCCGAATCATTTGCAGCCAAATAAACAAACAAACAAACAAATAAATAAATAAATAAGGAGTCTCAGAGGGATATGGGTGGGATGCCGACAATGCCTACTACAAACACTATTAAAATTATTTTTCATCCTTTATCTCTGCCTGTTGGCTTTGCCTTTCCTGCTGTATACAAGTTTGCTCATTTGCAGGAAGGGATAAAGCAGTTTCCAAGAGAAGAAGGCCTGTGATGTTGCTGGAAGAAAATAAATATGCTGAGGAGACAAAAGGACATTTGGTTACAGGTTGGGCCACAGTTATGTGTTCACTGCCTGAAGGATTGTTCAGTACTCTATATAGACATCCTATTTTGATTATATCCTTGCTATGGCTGAGGACTGCAGGGGCCATTTTCTGGTCACAAAAATAAAAATGAAAGAAGAAATTGTAGATTGCTTTGGGAAAAAAAAATCTCAAAAGGATACCCTATTGGGATAGGTATAAACATGAACTCATAGTAATATAGAGTCGATATCATATGAACATGAATTCAGTGTTCATTAATTTATTCTACTTGATTCCATGCATGGAATTCCCTGTTAAATACAAAAGGGATTTCAATTGTAGGGAATATAGCTGGAGGGGAATTGGACCATTTAGACCATCTAAATTTATCTCTTAGCCTGATTTTTCTTTGTGTGGCTACAGATGCTTCAGTTCAGTTCAGTTCAGTCACTCAGTCGTGTCCAACTCTTTGCGACCCCATGAATCACAACACGCCAGGCCTCCCTGTCCATCACCAACTCCCGGAGTTTACTCAAACCCATGTCCATTGAGTCGGTGATGCCATCCAGCCATCTCATCCTCTGTCGTCCCCTTCTCCTCCTGCCCCCAATCCCTCCCAGCATCAGGGTCTTTTCCAATGAGTCAATTCTTGAGGTGGCCAAAGTACTGGATGCTTAATAACTGTCTAATCCAAGGAGAGTGCCGCTACTAGTATCTCAGAGGTGAGACACCTGACTTTATTTATCCAGTTTTAAAAGATTTCATCTTTGCTCATTTAACATCCCTTTCAACCTATATCCCCACTTCTGTTTATCAAAGCATTTTTAGCGCAATGGGCTCTGATATTAGCACAGCCTTGCATGAATATTTCAATGTGCTGAGGGACAGCATTGTTATCAAGCACCAACAGCTGCTGTTTATTGGTGATAAATGAGTTTTGTTCCATTGAGAGCAATTTCCCTGGTTTTTACTCTATTATCTAGGTAGAGATGAAGGATATAATATACCCCTAAAGTGGTATTCACACAGTTATCCAGTTAATGAGGCATTGAGGAGTGGGGGTTGTGGAGAGAGAGACATACAGACAGAGGGTGAGGGAAGAAGGAGAGAGAATGGGCTGGGGGTGGGGAGAAGGAGACATATATGTACAGAGAAAGAGAGAGACAGAGAGAGAGCTGGAGAAAGAGGGAGAGGCGGGGGTAGCAGGGGGAGAGAGAGAGATGCAGAGAAGGGGAGCGAGCACAAACCAGAGGCAGAACCTGAAATTACTGTGGATCCTCCACTGTGCCTCTCTCTCCAGGGTTCTGCTGTAATATCATTTGTAAGGAAATATTATCTGATGTGGAAAGGCAGCGAATCATTAGTATTTGCAATGAACACGTTTCCAGGATTGTAGTTCACCATAAGATGGGTGCTTCTGATGCTGTTTGGAGTCAGTCTCCCTCGTATTGACAACAGAGGCTTAATTCATTGAGTAGATTCATGCCTACCTGTTCTATCAAACACGGACTCACGGGAATGTAGTGGGAACAGTTCATCAGCCTGGGTATTTGGAGACACTGTGGGCAGGGCAGAGAAGCGTCACCTGTTGAAGGAATAAGTTTAGGGAAGATGGAGTGGACTGGAAGTTGGCTGCGAGGAGGTGCTCCAGGACCTTAGGGCTCTTTTAAGGAACAGCACTAATTCAGCTCAATTCCACAAATGTTTCTTGAGCACATGCCATGTGGCAGATCCCATGCCACATACTAGGGATTCCAAAGCAAGTCAGAGTCCCTCCTCTCAGTAAGGTACATGCATTATTTCAAGTCATGTGGTCCACACTGTGGTGGAACTGAACTCATGACAGAGATAGTGAAGGACAGAGGAGCCCGGTGTGCTGCAGTCCATGAGGTCGCGAAGAGTCAGACGAGACCGAGTAACTGAACAACAACATGGGGATACAAAAGAGAGTTATCTCATGTCTTTGGGTGATGAGTGTGGGCTGGGACAATTTAGTGCAAAATATAGCAAAGATGGGGAGGTTGACTGCTCAGGATGGACTACATGGAGACTACAAATCCAAGATCTGACTAGCCTGCCCTGAAGGAGAGATCTTGTATGGTTATTCTAAGTTGCTGTCCTTAACACGGGTCAAGGTAACGTTTGTCCTTAGTGGTTATCATTAATGCTGGTTCATAATGGTTGTCCTAATGTTGATTAACATAATGCTTTTTCTGAATACACTGGTCAACGGTAAGTTACCCTTAAAGGTGGTCAATGTAAAGCTTATCTTTATGTTATCCTAAATGCTGGCCAAAAATGGTTATCTTTAGTGGTGGTGAACAATGGTTGTCATTATACTGGTTAACAATGGTTATCCTTAATGCCTATCCCGAATGATTATATTTAATGCTGGTAAAGAACTGTTCCTGGCTTCCTCTACTTTCTGGTCATATGATAGGTATGTAATTCCTGGCCTGCTTATGGATGAGTGGTTTCATGTGACTAGTTCAGACCGAGGCATTATGACTAGAACTGATTTGTGTCACTTTTGGACCAGAGGAGAATTTAATCCCTGGAGTGAGAGCCTCCAGAGCGCTTTTCCTTTCTTTTTGGATAGTGATCATTAACAGGGGCTGTGGAAGTTGCTCCATTAGCATGATCCTAATGAGCAAAGTAGCCCTGTAGCCCTGCCTATGTAACATATGTAAGGAGAAATGAACATGTTTAATTTTAAGCCACTGAAATTTGAGGGTTCTTTCTTTCTGCAGCAGAGCATAATCTATGTCAACTGATGTGAGGACAATGGCTCTCAGATCCAGTTGCACACCAGAGTCCCCAAGAGAGCTTTCAAAAGATGTGAATATCCATGTATGAAACTGTAACTCTGTTGGAATAGAATTCATAGGTTTGAGTCCTGAATTCCATTATCTTTAAAATTAAGTTTCAAAGGAAATTAAAAGAAACTCAAATAATAAGTGACTAGAATGTAAACTTCACAAGGGGAAGGACATTGTCTTGGTTACTGCTCTATACCCAGTGCTTGGAACAGTTATCTGGCATATACTGGACACTAAATCAATATTGGTTAAAGGAATGAATACATGAATAAATACAATCACACTTAGTTTATGTGATTTTTCTACACCAGGGTCTGCATCCTGTTCCCTATGCTATCTACTCAAATCAAAACCATTATCTGGGTTCTCTAAAAGGATGCTTTGCCTTGGTTGCTTTGCCTACCTTTTAGTACTTGGATTTCTGCATTTATGTCATTCCACCACTGTTCTGAGCCTATGTTTGCTACAAGTCCTGGAAAACTGATAACTAAGATGTAGAGATGAATCCACGAAAGCCAAGGACCTCTACTCTATTCCCATCACCTGTGTCCTGCCTGCTTCTGGCTTCTTTCCCTTCCCATACCCTTGGGTTGTGCATGATCCTCTGAGTCTGGGCGTTTGCACCATTATATCTTGTCTTTAATAATCACTACTATTAGAACATCTTATATTTCTTTAGTACTTTGTCATTTTTATATAGTTCTTTAATCCCTTTTAAAGCATTCATTAAAGTGTTATCCTATTATAGAAATGCATATATCAACAACCTCAGATATCCAGATGATACCACTCTAATGGCAGAAAGTGAAGAGGAACTAAACAGCCTCTTGATGAGGTTGAAAGAAGAGAGTGAAAAAGCTGGCTTGAAACTCAACATTAAAAAACTAAGATCGTAGCATCCGGTCCCATCACTTCATGGCAAATAGAAGGGGAAAAAGTGGAAGCAGTGACAGATTTTATTTTCTTGGGCTCCAAAATCATTGCAGATGGTAACTGCAACCATGAAATTAAAAAGATGCTTGCTCCTTGGAAGGAAAGCTATGACAAACCTGACAGCATATTAAAAAGCAGAGATATCATTTTGCTGACAAAGGTTCGTATAGTCAAAGTTATGGTTTTTCCAGTAGTGATGTATATATGTGAGAATTGGACCATAAAGAAAGCTGAGAGCCAAAGAATTGACGCTTTTGACCTGTGGTGCCAGAGAAGACTCTTGAGAGTCCCTCGGACTGAAAGGAGATCGAACCAGTCAATCCTAAAGGAAATCAATCTTGAATATTCATTGGAAGGACTGATGCTGAAGTTGAAGCTACGATAGTTTGGCCACCTGATGTGAAGAGATGACTCATTGGAAAAGACCCTGATGCTGGGAAAGATTGAGGGCAAGAGGAGAAGGAGGCAGCAGAGGATGAGATAGTTAGTTAGTGTCACTGACTCAATGGATATGAATTTGAGCAAAATCCAGGGTATAGTGGAGGACAGAGGAGGTTGGCATGCTACAGTCCATGGGTTCGCAGAGTTGGACATGACTTAGTGACTGAACAACAACTATATAAATGTGCTTTATAAATGGAAGATTCACAATAGACTTGAAGTGTCTTTGCCACTGATTTTCAGAATCATGGCCTTGACATCTGTAAAGAAGTCAGAGTGAAATTTGTTACTTGTTGATATTGGGAGTCAAATTTTTTAAATGTTCTCTTTTATTCCATTTTTACCTTTCCTATTATCATATTCATCTTGACTGCTATTCCATTTCTGATCACAGATGTATAAAAAGAAAAATGACACCCATAACTATTAAACCTCTCCCCAGGCTTCCCAAATCACAATGAACTTTTAATTCTCTGAGCTTCTCAAGAAACTTTTGTGGCCTGACCTAATTATCTTGGCACTTGGATTGTGTTTGATTATGTGTCTGGCACTGTGGATATTAAGTTCATTGAAAAATTAAGTTTCCCTAGTAATTATTGTGTATCTTCCATAGTGTTTAGCAGTAGAGGTGATAATCAATATATTAATAGTTATTCAATAGATACTTGAATGAGTACATTTATTCAAGTATTATAGTAAATATATGATATTTGACAGATTGACAGAATAACAGAATAAATTATATACATGTGTGTATATATATGTATGGCTTTACTACATTCATCAATTGAAAATTTATAACAAGACCATAATTACAGTGAAAATATACTAAATCTTAAAGCTCATGTTAGAGTATTTAATCACTCGTAAAAATTAAGAGTTCCCAAATTCACACATCCATCATCTTCTGTAGCATTTCACCACAACAATTGGTTCTGAATCTTAAGCAAGGCTCAAAGCAAGACTAATGTCTGCAGTGTCAAACATAATCAAACATTTCCTAGTTGTGCAACCCTGCTAAACCCTTACAAGAAAAAGCTGCAGGTGCAGTTCTATTAGAGAATGGTTAGTGTTAATGAATTTTCCACCAGAAATAAAAATGCATAAATCTGGCCCCTAGTCAATCATTTCTTTCAGTCCAGTAAAAAATATTGTGTTTTAAACAAAGTGAAAGAAGCTGTACAAGATCATTGATATTAAGATCTTTTTAAAACCTTATTTTTAGCCACTTAATATAGCAGATGGCTTAATAAATCTTAATTTTAAAAATATTATTATTATTTTTATGAATAAAATTTTAACTTCTTGAGAGAAAAAATAGCAAACTTCTTGTAATCAAGAATAAAATGGTTACGTAGCTGGTCAGGCTCCTCTGTCCATGGAATTTCCAAGGCAAGAATACTGGAGTGGGTTGCCATTTCCTCCTCCAGAGGATTGTCAAAACTTATCAAACTGTACACATAAAACATATGCATTTTATTGTATGTAAATTTCATCTCAATAAAGGATATTTTTTAAAGTTTGTAAAATAGAAAAAGAAAGAATAAAGTGGTCTTGGTCACCTAGAACAATGCTTTGAATAAGGGTTATGTTAATTAAATCTTCGCTGATTTCATCATTTATTAAATTGAATTAAATAATTGAATATAGTTAAACATGTATGCAACATTGATTTCACAATATCTGAAACTAACATGGCATTTTAAACAAACTATACTTCAGTTAAAAAAAGGAAAGTGAGTAAAAGTCGCTCAGTCTTGTCTGAATCTTTGTGACCCCATGGACTTAGTCCATGGAATTCTCCAGGCCAGAATACTGGAGTGGGAAGCCTTTCCCTTCTCCAGGGGATCTTCTCAACCCAGGGATGGAACACAAGTCTCCCACATTGCAGGCAGATCCTTTACCAGCTGAGCCACAAGGGAAGCCCAAGAATACTGGAGTGGGTAGCCTATCCCTTCTCCAGCGGATCTTCCCAACCCAGGAATCGAACCGAGGTCTCCTGCATCGCAGCCGGATTCTTTACCAACTGAGCTATGAAAAAGAATCATTAAAAGGAAATTGGGGGGAGGGTGGAATTTGAAGAAGATAGTAAAATAGTACAAACCTCCAGTTATAAGATAAATATTAGGGATGTAATGTACACCATGATGACTGTAGCTAACATTGCCACATGATACATAGACATGCTAAGAAAGTAGCTCCTAAAAGTTCTCATTACAAGGAAAATATTTTTTCCCTTTTTTCTTTTATTCTTTCTTTTCTTTTTATAATATTTACATGAGAAAATGGATGTTAGCTGAACCTGTTGTGGTAATCATTTCATAGGCTATGTAAATTAAATTATCATACTCTATGTCTTAAACTTATATAGTAATATATGTCAATTATTTCTCACTAAAAATGGAAAAAATATAATCATGCATTTAAGAGAAAAAAGGGAAATTGGATGCAATATGAAATGGCTCTCCCATAAGATTTTGGTGTCTTTTGATTGTATTAACCTAGCAAAAGAACTCAAGGCCTACTCACCCTACCCAACGCTTGCATCTTTGCTATAGCTGGTAAAGCTCACTAGAACTAAAAACATGTGACCAACACTGATTTGAAATAATGAAGGCTAACCCAAATAATACATATAAGAAATGTAAATCTAGACTAGTGGTTCCCAAACTTAAGCATGAAACACCTGGAGGACCACAGATAGCTGGGTCACATGCCCAGAGGTGGTTTTTTTTTTTAATTTTTGTCTAAGAATTGGTATTTTTCATAAGTTCTAAGTGGTGCTGATCTGCTTTTCCATAGTTTGAGGTCTAGACTTTGTCACATTGCAAATAGTAGTGTAACAGAAGATCTATTGGAGTTCAGAGAATCTTGCTATTTGCCAAAGGGCCACAGAACATCACTTGAGAATTCCCATTTTAAAAGGAATGGAGAAGAAAGATAAGAAGCAAGTATAGTTGACAGAATATTAAAGATGTCCATGTCCTAATCTTTAGAACATGAAAATATGTTACCTTACTGGGCAAAAGGGACTTTGCAGATGTGATTAATTATCTTGAGATGGGGAGATTATCCTGAATTATCTGGGTGGGCTCAATATAATCATAAGGGTTCTTTTAAGGGAAAGAAGGAGAAAAGTCAGAGATGGGGAAGGAGATGGGATGAAAGAAGGGATAAGGAGAAAGAGATGTGACAAACGGAACGAGAGGTTGGTGCAATGTTAGGAAGGGGCCATGATTCAAGGAATACAGACATGGAACAGGCAAGGAAAACAGATTTTCCCTGAGAGCCTCCAAAAACAATGCAGCTCTATTGACACCTTTTTTTTTTCAGCCTAGTGGACCCATTTAAGATTTCTGATCCCCAGGAGTATGAGCTAATAAATTTGTGTAGTTTCAAGCCACTAAGTTTGTGATGATTTGTTACAGCATCAATAGGAAAACAATTATAGTAAGAGACAGCCTAGTTCTTTGTTCAGTTTACTCAAGCAAGAGATTATTATCAGTGATTCAAAATGCAATGGTTTATTCTTGCCTTTAAGGATATTGGTGAATAGTTACAAAACAAAGTTTCTAAGCTATTTAATGGGTCTATAGGTATGCTATCCAGGATTCCCTAGTGACTCAGCAGTAAAGAATCCGCTTGTCAATACAGGAGACACCGGTTTGATCCATCCACGGGTCAGGAAGATC